TGGAAGCCCCGACCGATTGACGATCGACTTGAGAATAACTGGCAATGGCCGAGGACGTCTCTGTCTGTTTTGCCGACAACGGCGGCGGCGATGTTCCCGGGAGGACGCGCCTTTGGACGAACACCCACCTGGCCTGCTGTGTCTGCCCGGTCTCCTCCGGGTCAGCGAAAAATCATTGAACAAAAGCGTTGAGGGTGCTTCTTGGCTCGCGCCGCCAGGAGGCCCGCGCCGCGGTGGGTCCGCCTGGAGCCCCAGCTGCGCTCCACCAGAGAGGCGTGAATCAGTGGCTCCTGGAAGTAAAGCGGGGCCCAGGCCGGCCCAGCTGTGTTTGCTGGACAACATTTTGGCGCTTCCCTGGAAACGGAGCCATCATCGCCCGCCCGCACAATGCCTGTTCGTAACGGCCGCGGAAAGTTTCCACTCATGTCGGTTTTGTTTTTTATTGTTGTTATTATTATTCGGATGGCACGCGGGTGCGCGCGGTGCGCGGAGTATCCTCGCGCGCGGCGAGATCCTGGAGCGCGGGGTACGGCCAGCCCCGCCAGCCCCGCCGTGCGGGCCATTGTCTTGTCCCCGCCCCGCGCGGCGCGAGCGAGCGAGCTAAAGCCCCTCGAGGTGTTTAGTGGGTTGGGAGGTGAGGGATGGCTCGGGCGGTTTTACATTCTTTCCCTTTCTTGTTTTATTCCTCTTTATTTCCACACAATTGAGATGACGGGGGTCGTGTGTGTGTGTGTGTGGCTGGGTGGGTGGCGCCCCCTTTCACCATACATCCGCAGCAAATAAGGTCTTCACTAAATGTAATCCATACGTTGGGCCGAAATAAGGGGAGAAAAAGAGCATCGGAAAATAATTGGAATGAGCTCGGGCGTTCAGGAAAATTCACCCAGAGCCCAGAGGAGTTGGTCTGTGAAATCTGATATGGCGATATAGAAGAGACGGGGTCCCAAAGGGGCTTACACCATAAAAGACAGAAGCCTGTAAAGCTCTGAATTATATGGTCCTGGAGGAGAGGCCCCTCCTGGAGTAGCGCATTCCAGCTGCCACCGTTGGTTTTAGCGAGATAGCCTTTTGTTGTTTTTCCCGGTGCGTGTGTGTGCGGATACACTCTAAATGTTGAAATGACAATTTTGTATCTAGGAGAGATGCGTTCTTAAGCACATCTCTAGCGGATGCAAATTTGTATCTAAAATGTTACAACTTGTACCTAGACTCGGTACAAATGACTTTATTTGTGTCTAATTTACGTGCAAATTTGCATCCGCTAGAGATGTGCTTAAGAACGCATCTCTCCTAGATACAAAATTGTCCTTTCCCATTTAGTGTGTAGCCATCGCGCGCTCGGGTTTTTGATCTCCATCCAGCTTCCCTCGCCGCGTTACGCCCCTTTTGTTTCCCAAGGGGGAAGGTGGGAAAGAGAGTCATTGAGACAAACTGAGCCGAGGGAAAAAGTGAAATGGAGAACAAGTGGCGGCGGTGAGCGGTGATGAAACCCTCGGCGGAGGAAAACTGTTTGGAGCGGGGAGCGGCCGCGGGCCGGCGGCCCAGTATAGTGCGCTCCGACTGCATTCTCTATCCCGTGCCGCGCCGCCCCTGTCACCGAACGCTTGCGCAACGCGGCCAAATACGAGTTAAACATCGGGAGGGGAGGAGGCTTTCTATACCCGGCGCAAAGGGGCGCTGTAACAGAACACTACTGCATCACGCTGCTGCATGTACTGTATGCTGCTTCCTCGTGTGGAGAGCGGGGTGGGGTGGGGCGGGGCGGGCTACCCGAGAGGGCGATACGAGGGGAACTACTCTTCGTCTCCTCTCATATCGCCCGGGCCCACATAGCCCCCATGTAGCCATACGATCTGAGTGACATGACGTGCGGGGCCCCCGGGCCGGATGTCCAGGCCCCCGGGCCCCCGGCGGGCGTGCGCCGTCGCAGCCGCCGCCGTTGTCAGACCACCTTACACTCTCAAACGCTGCGGCAATTTGTCTCTTCTGATTAGGCATGACCTTCCCCGTCGTATACACGTTGTGTACCCAGCACTGCCACTCCCTGCCTGCCTGCTCCATACCTTGCTCGCCCTGGCCGTGTATGCAGCAGCGGGTCTAGCGGGACACCCAGGATTAATTCATGTCGCGTTCGTAGAGCTCAGCAGCTCCAGCAGCCTAATTACCCCCAAGGCTGGGATATGTGAAGCGGGGCGCGCCTCGCGGGTCCGCCGCTGCCAGGCCGCAGAGCAGCTCCGGAGTGTCGCGGCCGGACGGGGTGTCCCCCGGGTGTCTCCCGCAGTAAGCAGTCTTCTTTATGGCGCCCCGGAAACACGACCGGACAGTCATGACCACTGCTGGCAAGCGGGGACTGGGGACACCCTGGCCGGCTGCTGCTGCGTTTCCGTACTGACAGGAGGGTGTCACCTAGTTGTTTTTTGGGGGGACTGATCTGTACCGCATGCAGGCGCCACCACGCCTGAATGCTGTAGGTGCTGAATGACGGTGTACGATGGGGCGTTGGAACACACGCTGTGAGCAGCATCGCGACCGCCGAAATGTGGGTCACCAGTGTGTGTTTTGTGGCGAGATGCGACGCACCATCATCGGCCACCTGCCGAAAGAGTCGCGCGAGAGACAAACCCAACCCGTCCGTCGCGCGGTGTCGGTAGATTCATTACGACGGGGTGTTAATTTGTCAAACGTCGCGAGCCGGCGAGGACCACCTCAAATGATGAGGCCTCCCGAAAATTATGTGTTGCCGATTCAGGTTGAAGTTGTATTATATTTTTTTCGGTATTCATTCTGGGAAGAGATGCGAGAACGCGCGACGAGCGAATAAGTTCTTGTTTTTTTTTGCCGTCCAAACCAGGACGTGTTTTTGTGACGCGACTCGTCTGGTCCGCCAATGAAAGAGGACGCGGTGCCGCCGCCACTCGCCCCGTGTTCACCAATTAGACTTAACTCGGGCCGCGAGTAGGCGCGCACTCGCGCGTAATGGGCTCGGTGGGTGGCGGGGCGCGGCGGGGCGAGGTGGGGTGGGGCGCGCGCCATTACCCGCCATTGCAGTTACCATCGCGTTACACTCATCGTTCCTGAAAACTGACCCGACGTGCGTCTGTGCGAGCCGCGCAGGTTCCTGGAAGTAGTAGTACTGCACCTCCTCGGTTCACGTCGGCAGCCCGTCTCGCGCGGGTTGAAAAAAAAACCACACACAACTGAACATGCGCATTTTGAAACCAAATTAAAATTTCATGAAAAGAGAAAAAGGGACCAATGTCAATGTGGAAAACCTTTCACCCAGAGGCTTTTGGGACCTTGGGCGGGCCTGTGGCGGCGGCCTGTGGTGGCCGGCGCTCGGTCAGCGGGTCGCGGACCGGTCCGGGGCGTGTGCAGGAGGTGTGGCTGTTAGTTGTTAATGACGTTGTCTATGGGCGGGGAGCGGACGGGACGCCATCGACACAAAGTCTCGTGTGCCCGCGGACACTTCCATGCGCCCGAAAAGTGTGGAGCGGAACGCACTTTCCTGTGCGCAACTGCGCTTGGAAAAAGTAATTTTATGCAGTGGTCTGGCTGGCGGTCGAGCAACGTAGAAACGTTTTATCTGCAATTATTTGTGGTTATTATATTTCCTCTGAGGGGGGAAAATAAAAAGAGGCAAAAGATAAAAATTATCTCGATACTGTATTTTTTCTAATTATTATTCCATTTCTTTCTTTCTTTTTTCGCTCTTGACCGTGGCCGGCTGCGGTGCCCTGCTCACCAGACGTGGTTCCGGTGCGGCGCGCGCGCCCTCCGAGCTGCGACGGAGATTTTGCGCTCATATTATTATTACCATGTGCAATTTGCTGTTTGGGCCACTTTAATATGACAGTATAACGACGGCCGTAACGTTCAGTTTTTCACTGCCGCCGAAAAAAGAAACGTTCCCTGTATTTGGGCCGTCGCCGCCCGTCCTGCCAGTAAATAATGCAGGCCTGCCTGTTACGCCCTACACAGCCTAGTCCAGCAGCGTCAGGGTCAGAAGGGCCTTATACACGCCAGCCGGTCGCGGCTCGCTGCCGACGCGACGCCCGTAGCGGCCGGTGCGTCACCACGAGGTTGGCAACACCTGTCACCTGCAAAACGCCCGTCCGCCAAAGAAAGCTATAAGCGCGACTGTTGGCACACTTGCATACAGTACTACTACTATACCACCACATCCGACACTGACGAATATAAGTGCATTTCCTTAAAGAAGGAGGGGGGGACGCCAGGCACCGTGATGTTGGCAGCACTGGATGATCATGTCGTCCTCCCCTCGGCCCTTGTAATAATGCATATGGAGGCAGTTCACGGTGGGCTGGGCCCTTGCCGCGCCGCCCCCGCCCCCGCCCCCCGGCGGCGGCGCGTGGCCGCTCCTCCGGGGAGCGTGACGGGACGTGTGCAGCCGAGCGGGGCCTGCCGCCGCAGCTGCGGAGGAATAAGGGGGCTGCACGTAAAAAACGTTAAGTGACCTGTGAACTATTCGTAAAAACCGCTTCAACATTTGAAACTTCAGCCGCACGTTGCACTTGTGGTGCCAAATTCTAGGTCACACCTTGAGAAATATGGCAATTATTATTCCCTCCCCAAGGTTTCAAAACATTGTCTCTGTTTTCCCCTCAAATGCTAATTTTACAATCGCGATCTTGTGGCGCCTCGTGTGTTCCCTGCTGGTGCTGGTGGTGCACCACCTCGCGGGGAAGGCCCTCCTCCTCTCCCCGCGCGCGCGCGCGCGTGCTCGCGGCCCGTGAAGTAACAAGCGCGCGGCGGTGGCGGGGCGGGGCGGAGACGGACAGACGCACGGACGGGCGGCGCGCGCGCGGCCCGGCGCGGCCCGGCGCAGCAGCAGCCGCGGCCCGCGCGCTTAGTAGAGTCGGGATAGTGAGGCAGTGCGGCTGGCGCGGCCCTTGCTGCACCCACACCCACACGACCACGACCCAACAACAGTCAGTGCAAGCGCAGCGTCCTCAATGGAGCCGTACTTTTCTCTGTCACAGATCTACCCGGAGCCCGACACGGAGAAGACCATCATGGGCTCGGTCGTGTACTGCATCCACCACAAGGACGGCTGCAAGTGGAGCGACGAGCTGAGAAAGCTAAAGGTGAGTTTTGCTGGCTGAATGTCGACGTTTAACGAGGGGGGGGGGGAGGTGTGTCTTTGTTTATGGGGTGTAACATGGGGTGATAATGGCAAGGGTAAAAGTATGGTCTCTGTTATGGGAAAGATTTTGTCGTGCCCCATTTCTAGAGGCCATCGAAAGCAAGTGGAAAGCATTGGGTGGAATTTCATTGCAACTAAAAGTGACCTTTTCGTCACTTTTAGCAAGGGGACATTTTTAAAGTGTATGGACTCCTTTTCTCCCCGCACAATTAAAGCCAAGTGTTGGGTCACTCTCTCACTCCCATGGGTGTTGGGGCGTTGCGCGACCAATCCCCCTCCTCTTTCTCTCTCTCTGTCTGCCCAGCGAGCGTCACGTGATGTTTGCGCTCGACCACAGAGTCCAGCAGCAAGTCCAGCAGTCCATACTCGCGGGAACAAAAGAGAGATGGGGCAACAACGGCGGCGGCCGCGCGTAAGAGACCCTCCTCCTCTTTCTCACACGCGCGCGCTCTCTATCCCAAGTCCGGGCGCGCTTGATAACCGTCGTCGTCGTCGCCAAGCCACATTGTCACAACAAAGTTACGTCGTTTTGACTTCTTTCACAGAGAGGGCATTATTGTCCGAAAGACTACTGCAGTTTGCACGTCGGTCACCCCCTCCCCCCTCCCTCCCCCCCTTTTCATTACTCGAGGTGTGCGGTTGTGGAGGCGCTGTACACTTCCTCACCCTGGACGGACGCCGCCGGCATGGTGTGTGCGCGCGCGGTCACTGCCCCGCCACGCCCCACCATGACGCGGGCGTTGTGTGCACTTACGCGCAACGAGTAGCTAGCTGCTGCTGCTGCTGTTACTTACTGCAGCGGCCTCCTTCCTCCCCTCCCTCCCCAAGGGGTTGTTGCACCCCCGTAAGGGCGTGGCCACCGCCACCGACGCCGTGCTGGGCTGGGGGGTGGCGGACCGTGGCGAGGGCGGCGGGGGCGGCGCGCGGAGAGCGAAGGGGGTTCGAAACCCCCTCGGTGCGGGAGATTAGACACGGGGCGAGGCGGGGCGGGGCGGGGCGGGGCCGGAGGCAGGTGGTTCTTGGACACGCTTCCGGTGCGCTACCTTACCGGCCAGCCCAGGCACTGAACCGGCACACCAGGCCGCAGCCGGGCCTCCTACAGGAGTACTGTAATGTTATTCCACTCTGCGGGCTCTTTTTTGCTTTTTACATCGGGGATTTCATAATTATTTTACCTCGTCCACTTTTGTTATGCGTTTGTTAAAACAATTCCTAATCTTTTGTTTGTTTTTTTAGGCTCACCTCAACGTGTGCAAGCATGACACGGCCGCCTGCAGCAACGGGTGCGGCGCGCAGATCCCGCGCGTCCTCATGGAGGACCACCTCAAGTACACGTGCCCGGAGCGGCGGACGCGCTGCGAGTTCTGCGGCCAGGACTTCACCGGACACACGCTCGAGGTGGGTGCGAGTCATGAGCGCCGACGGTACCTCCGCCGCCCTCTCTCTCCCCCGTTTTATTGTGATTCCTCGGACGCGCCTCTGGCGCCGGCGTCGCGCGCGTCCCCATCGTGCCCCGTCCCGTCGCCGTCCGTTTGTCTTTCCCTCGTCAGGAGAGGCGACGTCTGGATGTGACAAACGACGGTGTGACGGGGCCTCTGGGGAACAGCGTTTATCAATCAAGGGTCCCTCCTCCGTGTATGATGAGACGAGCAGTGACGCGACACGAAGCGTTCTCACGACGGCCGCAACGGGCTCAACATCATCCTCTCTCTTTTCCTTCCTTTTTGTTTTCGCCGGAGGAGCTTGGTGGGGCCTGCGGCAGGAGGCGCCACGACGGTGGGGCTTTATCACTCCCTGGCCAGGTCCTGGTCGGCTCTGGTGCGCGGCCTGACCAGCCGACGGGGAGCTAAATCGGGCGCACTGTGGGCCGGATACACGCGGGAGCGCTGGAGGGAGGCGGGGAGGGGGGGGGGAAGCAGGAGCAGACATGGGCTTTTGGAGTGGAAATGGAAATAGGGTCATGAGCCTGTTGAGCCCGCCGCGCCGGGTCGGCGGTGACCGTGTGGCGCCGCCCGCGACTGCGCGCCCGGTACTGTACCCCCCC